AACTTCATCAACGGAACTCTACATCGTCTCAGAGTCGGCAAAAATTTTAAAAGGTAAACGTCAATATCCTAACTATAGATTCCGCTGCGTTAGGATTTATTTCGATAAAGTTTAATATTGTGCATGTTGTTTGACGTTCCTAACAGAACCCAACATTAACTACTTTCAGACTGAAGCTGTGGAAGTTAAAGGTGGTTGACAAAGTGAAGTTATTTATCTGGAAATGCATTGTGGGGGCCCTACCTGTTAAAACCAACTTACAGAAAAGGGGACTTCAGCTGGATGTTATCTGCAATATTTGTGGGGAAGGCCCAGAGACAATCAACCATGTCCTTTTCAACTGTCCAAGAGCAGCCAGACTTTGGAGTATCTCACCAGTATCATGGACCTTGCAGCCATCACAGACATCTTCTTTCAGAGATTGGTGGCAATTCATTTGTGTTGCGGGCTCTTCTGAGTTAGCTAAAGCCAGAATTCAATTATCAATGTACATTCTTTTGGTGGCTTTGGAAGATCCGCAACCTATGCATCTTTCAAAACACTCTCATGCCTATCCATGTCACTCTCAGAGCTGCTCATAGTGACTGGCTAGCTTATGCTCATTTGTAGCTTATTTCTCTTTTAAGTTTGTTTTGTAGCTTGGACAGTTTTTATTTTGCCTAGTGTGGTGTGTTTATGTTTAGTCTTTGTAGTTTTTGTTTAGTCTTTGTAGTCTCTGGTTCTTCCCTCTAGACCTTCGAGCAGTGGAGGTTTCTTGCTTTTTCCTTGTGTTTTAGAGGTTCTAGGCCGCCTAGTGCGTGTCCTCTCAGTTTTCAGTTTTAGTCAGGTCTGGCCTGTACATTTCGAACTTTGTTCGCTTTGAGTTCTATATATTCTCTAACGTTTCAAAAAAAAAGAACATGCTCCTAGGCAGTAGCTTTAGGATCTAGGAAAATAGGCTAATCTAAGTAGTAAACTCACATGCTCGGTTTACTTAATTAGGCCTTGTAATTCTAAACTGTTTCCGCCCACCGTCCGCTACTAATGAAAACACATCAATAATAACGGATTAAAAACTCTAGCTATAGATATGAAAAACCCTATCTATGTGATCAATCTAAATAAGACTAAACAAATCTTAGTTCATCAACCAAAATAATACGCATGATTCCATAAAAATTATAAAATTATCAAACAAGAAAAATAATCAAGCGTCGTCAAGTCATAGGGTGTGACATTCCCAAAACTAAAATTAAAATACTAGTCACGCAAAGCGTTCATAAACATGATAATAAAATTAATTACACGGGAAAGAAAAAAAAAGATTGATTTTCTCTAATCTCGTCTCTTGCTTGCTTACAAAGTCCTTCTCCAAGTCTGCAAGTCCAAGTCTCCTTCTCTAATTTGAACGTCTGACTCCTTTTATATCCCCCTCAAACAGGCAAAAAAAATTTGGTTGTCTGACATTAATTCTTCCCACAAGCCCCCTGCTCAACATAGAAGGGCAATTTGCATTTATACCACATAATATATAAAAATATTATAAAAATAGAGATGCCAGATTTTAATTGCATGGTTACCATCATTAGTGTTTTTATTTGTTTCTCACGCAAAAACTTCCGTTATGTTTTTAATCCACCTTTCTACAATCACGCAACCTTCCTACAATCACGCAAAAAATAGATTAAAAGATAAGGTAAATGTATTTAACCCAATAATTAGAAATTTGTTCGTATCAAATGGAAGAAGAGATATAATTAGGAATCTGTTCACCCTCATTTGAAACTACGGCGTCGCAGGTCGGGTGAAGTGTATATCTTAGGTATATTTTATGTATATGTGGATACTGAATGAGATCCGCAGTTCAGATATCGAGTGTATATCTTAGGTATATTTTATGAGTATGTGGGTTCTGAAATCAATTTTGAAAAACGATTGAAACTCAAGTGTATAATTAAAGTATATTTTATGTATATGTGTGTCCCGATCTATCGTTAGCTTGAATTACGAGAATCTCGAGTGTATATTTTATGTATATGTGTGTATAATCACTTTGGTATATACTGTATATACCCGCAACATGTAAATTTTCATATCTAATAGCAACATATAAATCATGTAAAAAAATTTCATACCCGAAACATATAAATTTTCATTTCCAAAACAACAAAACAATAATCAACCGAAAAAAAAAAAAAATCTCATTTTTCGTGCGCGTCGGATTTGAACTTGAACATCGAGAGGTCGCGGCTGGACTCCTTCAGCGAGTTCTCTACGCGATCCATCTTCGTGTTCTTGGAAGATTTCTTGAGAAGGGCCGCGGTGGTGGGGTTTGCGTCGGCCATCTTCATCGCCTCGAGCTTTTTGGAGGCACTTGTCAATGGTGGACTTGAGGGATTTGTAGGATGTCGCTTACTCCTAGCAGGTCTGCCAATCCATCGCTCCGCCGACCCCCTTCATCTAAGTGGTTGTCGTCGTCTTCCACTGATAAAAAA